GACTGCTTACCTAATCTCATTACAGGCGGGAACAACTGGACGTCAAAATATTTTTAAAGCACTTGTCAGCAAGAACCTAAGAGAAAATGTAGATATAACCTACCGTCCTATAAGTGTTTCCTTAAAAAACTTTAGATGTAAGATAAAATAAATAATATAAAAACCTTTCCCGCGAAAACTTCTTGGAAATAGGCGAACTATACATAATAACGATTGAACACAAGCCTATCCTTCTCTGGTTTTCTCATATAGAAATTATTAGAGAAAAACGTTGCAAGGCTGTTTTCGGAAATAATTCACAAACCGTCATGGACTTTACTCGTAACTAATCAAAATCAGAAATTTAGCGAGTTGACCAGAATTTGAAACAAAAATCCTTAGACCATAAAGTTTTGAACCGTAAATCATTTAGGAAGACTGACCAAATAAATCAAAAAAGACTTACAACTGAGTATTCCCCGTGTAAATTGAAACTAAATCATCGCCTAAATCGACGAGTAATGCTCTCCTTAGAAAATCGATAAAAACATCTTCTTTGACACTGTCTGAGTTGTTAGCTGATAAAACTACAAAACCGCCCGAAAGCTCCTCTGCAAGTTCTTTCCCTCTCAACAATAACTCAGATTCTTCCTGAAAAAGCAGTAGGCTGCACAAAAATGACCGTTCATCAGACATATAACTACTCAACATAAGGTTTCATGCGACTAAAAATTTGTCTTCATAATAAAAAAACCTTTTCCATCTCGTGGTTAGTGGAATCGACAACAGCCACAATAAGTAACGTAACATTCAGATACAAAGGAACAAAATTCCGTAAAACTGCTTCCATATGAGCGAATGAAGCCCGCCTTTGAGTGCTAAAATGTGAGCAAAAGTGAAGGTTAACCAGTGCATTTTGGTTGCTGACGAGAACCATCTTCAGTATATATTAATAATAAACTGAGAAGTATGAAATATCCATTTAAAAAGCAATTTGACCCTTAAAAATTTCTCGCTTAACCGCTGCTCTTATTGCCCTCGTTTCATAAAACAATTTGCAGCATTTTTCCTGCCCTGTCATTATTTCTAGATTCAATGATGACGTTTCAGGTCTCCCAAAGTTCACACTTCATTTTCCTTGAAAGCGATAATTCTATTCCCACAAGATTTATCTCCATGAGTAAAAGAATAACACGAACGCAACCGAAGCCTTTCTGAATGCTAAAACCACATTTGAGCCGATCCTTGTGAGCGAGAGGACTACACAAATGTGTGAAGGTTCTGCAGTGAAAGGGGTAAACTAAAAAGCGAAACCCATGATAGACATAGAGATCAAGAAAGTAATCGGTTTAGCCCTAGTTCGATAAACTCAAGCCAAACTACTGATTTTCTGGTATTGAAATTAGGCGTTTTGCATAAGTTATATTTTCAAGCTATCTTCTCCTAAACAGAAGGGTGAAGAGCTTTCGAAATAAGCTCCACTCACAATTAACTAAAAAGTAAAAGCCAATACACCAAAGTGTTGCCGGC